GAGAAACTCAAAGCTTCCGATAAAAAACACGACAGTATTATAGATGTATAGAATATTGACTGCATTGTATAGCGTAGCGTTACACAAATTACAATTACTCACTTTAGTATAATGAACAAAACATAAAAACCTCTTTGGAAAAATTTGATGAATTTAGATTTTTGATACTTTACGTTATATTTATTTGTTACAGAATATTATACATAACTAGTGATAAATATATTATGATGTTAGTATGTCTCCTCGCCCTTTAGAATAAAGTTTTTTTTATTAAACCAGACAATATAAAATTAAGTTTGCAAAGCCTTTACACAGAATATGTATTTATTTTTTTTACTTTGAGCCACAAAAAAAATCATACCAGATGAAAAGAAATAAAAATAAGTTATTACCAAGATACGCACTGAAATCAAAATCGTTCTTAGAAGCCTTTGATAAAAGAGTAGGTTTGCTTGCACGGTGTGTAAACGTTAAGTTACGTGTCACGAAGACAAATTTTTAAAGTGTGAAAGCTTTCGTCCTTTCATCCAGCAGCGAAATAAGCCTCTCTCAGTTAATTCCAACCACTGCCAAGTGCCGTGCACATTCGTATCTCGTTGCTGCGTTAACGGCTATCAGTTTTCACCATAATCTTGCGGTTTTCTAAGACGAAAAATCACTTTTCGTTTACACACTGTACAGTTTATTAACGTTTAATGAAAAAGTAGGTAAAATTTTCTATTATAGGCAACGTTATGGCCATTGGAGTCAAATTACTTATAGTATTTGATTTGAAATTGCATCACTGAGTTTTCTTTATTTTGTGTATGTAGCAGAACAAAAACTTGCAGGTGAAAACAACACAGTCATTAAATACTAAGTACCTAGTTGTAGCCATTAAAAATTATGCAGTTTCAAATCACCCATTTCTACTTTAAACAAAATCTTTCTAACCGCTAATTTCGTTTAATATTTTTTTATGGGATTTAGATCTGTTTTAGCACTTGCAATCCTACCTATGTATTCATTAGGTACATATTTCAGGTCGTATCCTTTAATTCGCAAAAACTTGAACAGAGAAAATTTAACTTAAATTGTCTGCTGAAAATTATACAGATTTTCAATCTTGTATTTCTCACTGAAACCTGTATTATGTACCCAATGGAAGTTAAAAAAAATACGTCAATGTTGTACTCGCGCAAGAAGGCGAGTTACTTATTTTACAGAAACCAAAAACACCACACACAAGCAATTTACCAAAGTTTCCACTAACTAAAATAACATATTATTATACAATTTGTATCGATATATTGTAATTTACAGTAAATTGATACTTGACTTAATATATTTAAGGCGTTTTATTGATATTTTATTACACCCCAACCCTTTAAATGTAAAACAAGATTAACTTTTTTTAAGTGCATATGTTATAGTCAAACCTCGAAGTTCCGGCACTCCTAGGTTTGACTAGTCAATCCTCAGGTCTGACTAGAAGTCTTAGTCAAAGCCCAAACATTTCGGCCTTTGACTAAAGAATTTTAGTCAAACCTAGGAGTAACTAATTTGGTCAGGCAAAGGTCGAAACTCAATTTCATGAAATCGGGGTTTGACTAGTCAAACCTCAATTAAGACTTTAAACTAAACTATACTTAATATTCTGATCTCGAACTTATTGCATAGGCGTTACGACGGTCGGTTTTGACGCTCTTTAGGTGAAGGTACGAGTAACTAAACTTATACAATACTAAGATAGAGTGTTTCTAGATCGATCTTGATTATTATTACTATTTTTTAGGGTTCTGTTACCTTAAAGGATAAAGAGTTTAGATCCTATTATTATGACTTCGCTAAATGTTTTCTGTCACCAGGCTCGTATCTCATGAATCATTCACTTTAAAAATAAATAATTCAATAAAATATTTAAATATTTAAGGGGGGCTCCCATACAGCAAACGTGACTTGTTGTAGTTTTCTACTTGATATTAAAACGTAAACAGGTGAACCCTTGAAATATTCACATAATATTTAGTTGCATAGCTATTTTAAAAATAAATCATAAAATTAAAATAAAATAAATATTTAAGGGGGGCTCCCATACAACAATACATAAAGTGAGCCTATTAATTTAACACAGGTACGACTGGACTCAGTGTTGCACTATCAAATGCAATTGACGCGCCTCCTAGCCAGGTTATTTATGTTCCTGGTCAGGCTATAAAAACAATGCTACTTTATACTTCTTCTACTGCCACTTTATTCTAATTAATTATTTGTTACTTGTGCTGTTAATTACAATTCTCAATCCGTAAATAATTTCTTCTTTCTACCGTGTTCGTACTACTGTCCTCGTAAAATCATCGTAACCGATTATTGTAATCGGATTACATGAACATCACTCGACCATGTATGTCCATTTGGACATATCGGAATGGCACGCTTTGACGATCAACTTGCTGTATCTACTCTAATCCATATCTGTGCTGCATATCGACCTTTGACTATGACACATAGATCTGAAAATCCGAAGCTGCAACGTAAGTATACGAGTAGATAAGTCACGATAGCCTAATGGTGAAGGGGTGGGACTGGCCGACTCGTGGTCGTGAGGAAAGCGGGTTCGATCCCCGGCGCTGCTCGACTATTGTGGTGAACGCACTCGTAACAAGCGTTTATTTAGCTTACCACAAGAAGTTTACGGGATTATTAGTAATTTGTATTCATAAAATCCCGTAAGTACTATTCTGTACTATCAACAAAGTTGACGCATGACCACGTTGAAGACATACTTATTTCTTCGCTGTGCTGCGGGCGGGACTGAGTATGGTCATTTCGCGCAATCTCGAAACGATTAGTACCTCCTAATTGAAACGATTCAAAAGCTTCTGAACATTATCCAGAGAGTAATTCGTTCGTTGATCAATAGAACATTAATGAGTATCGCACCTCTACTAATCCGGAACTCCGGAAGTCCGGTTGTTCTGGGTTCAATAATAATCAATTCCCAAGTGGGACACACAAATTTAAAATTGGTTGTTTAAGACGATGTAAGGTTGAAATGCATCTGTCTAATAGTAGACTATTATACACTACGCTTATTTTTACAGGGTTTCACGATTCCTACGCGAAGCGATTCCATGAGCTACCAAATAGATGCTTACGTTGACCGACACGTTAACTATTTGTCAATAGTTCAAAAAGAATTTACAACTCATTTGTTTAAATAGGAATATTTGTTAGTAAAACAAGTGCCTACCTCAAATTTAGGAAAATTTCAATTTAAATCTAATCTAAAAACGATCCCTATTTCCCTTGGTCATCGCATCACACGTGACTGGCCGATTTCTCAAATTTTTTTGTTGTGTTTGTCATTGTCAAGAGAAGGTTTGTATAAAAATAAAGAAATTTGCTCGAAAAATATTAACTTTTCATAAGACAGGACAACATCTGTAGGGACAGCTAGTTAAGTATAAATAAACTATGACTTACTTTAGTTAGAGAAAGTAATCCCCAAAATTAGCAAATGACCTTTAAAGGCGAATTTTCTATGAGTGTTTCAGTTCCAGTCTCCTTGTTTTTCCAATTATCTTTTGACTATGTAAATATTACATAGGCTGTAATGATTATTTACAACGAGTTAAAATTTAATACAATGATTACATCAAGAACATCCAGTTCAGGGGAGAAAATTTTTTACTGGATAATCAGTAGGGTAAGTGCGTTAGTATTCGTCCAATTATCGGCGTTGCCAACTTTGTGATGCGAAATGAATATCTTAAAATACCCTTACTCATATGTATCATTGTCATTTTAGTCCTTATATAGTCTACTTTACGTTAATATTATATGACAATAAGTAAATACCACGGGTTTTTTTATAAAAAATATTTTATGCAAAAGAGGCGATTTCACTAGTTTTCGTCCAAAAAAATCAGTTTTCGTCCTAGTGTACGCTAGTTTTCGACCACTGTGTAGAAAAAAGGGTGCAGTTGAATTATAAACTTAAAACCAATCCTACAATACAGTAACTATGAATTGTGGTATATCATTTGAAAGGTAATTTTGTTAGCTTTCAAATGATATCAAAAAGATTTAAATAAGTTTCTTACCTAAATTTAGGAAAATATTGCAATAGGTCGAAGGATAAATGGACGAAAACTAATCTACAGGAATAGCTAATTTTGGTTTTCGTCCACCTCAGTGCTTGCTCATGACGTCATGGACGAAAACACAACAACGTTTAAAGCCGTTTTTTGTTTTCGTCCACATCTTTTTAACGGTTTTTATGGGTTTATCACTGTTAAAAAGTGGACGTAAACTAAAATGTTTAATGTAATAGCAATAAAGATCATATTGGAAGAAAAAACATTGTATTTTGTAGGTCCATTGAAGTAAAATGTTTAAAAAAAATATTAACTAGGTGTCAGGGTTTCCGTCCACGTGGACGAAAACCAAAATCTTGCAAAATTGTTATGCTAGTATTAGTCCACTTAATTATCTAAGATTTCTATACAAAAACTTTAATAAACCCTTAAAATAGTGTTTATTATGCTAATAATTAGACATACGTGCCAAAAACATTACGTAAAGTAGCTAAAACAGTAATTAAACATATCATGAAAGTTCCCTACCGGCACGTTATTTTTCTAACTTGACGACGTTTTCCATTCACCTGTGTGCAGCAGCAACTTCCGTAGATTTTTTTGGAGTTATTACTTGTCAAATTACATTTTCATGCAGGCAGAACTGTTACTTAGATATTATAAATTGTAACAAGTCCAAACTTGCACGGAAAGTTAGGTTTGTATTCTAATTTTCTGTATTTGTTTGTGGCAAGTCGGTCAAATGGACGAAAACAGGAGCTGGACGGAAAACTGGCGCAATTACCCTACTTCCTAATAAACTTACTAGCTTTTGCTCGCGGCTTCACCCGCGTGAAATTTAGTCTGTCACAGATCCTCATAAATTATAGCCTTTACGTTATTCTGGGTTATAAACAATAATACTGTAGTTTCATAAAAAAAAAGTAGTTTTTGCGTGAAAGTAACAAACACCCAGACATCCAAACTTTCGCATTTACAATATAAGTAAGATAGTAAGATAAGTAAAACCTACAATACTTGGAAATGGTAAGCTATAATGCCCAATGCTCATATTATCCTATTCTATCCTACTAATGTGAGGATGAATGGATGTTTGACAGTCTTTCATACAAAAACTACTGAACAGAATTTGATGAAACTCTAGCGTTTTGTTTATACTTCAAAATACATGGATTTTATAATGTTTATAATGAATATAGGAAAAAGCTACAGTACACTAAGAAATATTATTATAAAGTCTCATGGATATTATGTATCATTATTAGTTTACTGATCTACAAATTATTATAGGATTCTAAGAAAATTAAAGTGAAATAATACCTTTCTTTCTATTATTATGTCTAGATTAATTGTAAAAAATATAGTGTCGGTGTTGAAGGATCTAGGCTTGTGGTGAATAAATTTATTTATTCATTAATTCATCATAGACAAAGAGGTGTTACGTACGCCTAATCTATGAAGATCGCTGCATCGACGCTGACCCAGTTTACCCAAATCAACATTGCAACTGCACTATGGACCGCGAGGAGCAGCATCAGCAAAATGCGCCTCTCATGACGACAGCGGCGACGTTTCAGTAATTTTACTAATTATTTTATATTCATATTTGTTTCACACTTCGAGACGGTATCACTAGCTTACCTAATTTTACTTTTATTGTAATTTCTTTCTTTTAAATTAAATTTAATTAAATAAAGTTTGCTTTTTCTTGGAACCTCCGGTTGCAGCTAACGAAATTGGCGCAGTCGGTAGGATATTCACGGTTAGGCCCGGGTCGCGTACGAAGATTTCCGTTCACCGAGCCCTCCGAGTGGCTATCAAGTCGCGCTTCGAATATCCGAACCTACGGGAGCTGCAGTCCAGAGGTGAATCAAGCCATCGATTCGTCCAGAAGAAAATAATGCTGTAAGTCCTTGAATCTTTCAAGTCCTCACCTTCCTAATCCTAATTATATTAAACTTGATTAAGTTAAGTTCATATTACGTCGATAATGAAATAGTAATAGTGTACAAGTTCCCAATCTTTACTCCTTATACATACGACCTAATATAGGTACAAATTATCTATTGTCCCTAATGGAAATCACGAAATCCTTGTTCCATCATCCCCATTCCTAGCTATCCATGAGAAAGATTTCAAGCACATAGAGGCTGAATGCCCGAAGACCAACAAATGGTTCTTATGTGAAGAAACACGAAGTCTCCAAAGCCAAACTTCAGCCCAATCACTGTCACACTAAATCAACCAGCATACGAACAACGAGACGACCGCCACTACGTCATCAACTTCCCTACTTCTACGAAGGTACATCTGTCCTGCGGGCAAGATCTTTCAACATCAACAAGGAGTATCGAGGCAGCTATCTCGCAATCATCCCACACAAATTGCACATGGAAACATCTCAGTTGACCATCTCCAACCTCAAAGATCGACTGAAAGGACATGTGCTGACAATCACGAATCTACCGAAGGAACCAGAGTACGATATTTCTACAGTCAAACTAAACTCTATGAATCTGGATCATCTTCACACCACCAACATGAAGATTTCCCAGCATCCAAAGTTAAATCTTGAGAAGAACGTAGATTACAGTATATACCATACTACCATCCCATTGTACATGGTATTAATCGGTGCATCTGTACTCATCAGCGTAATACTATACCGCAAGTACTACAAGAAATTAGACTCTGTCTAGAGCCAACCAAGGGAAACTCAGACACAAAGGACAACATACGCTGTACCAGAGCCAAAGACAAGGGCAAGCCAACCCCCACCTCAATTCACTACGAAATTCTTCGGTGGTGGCTGTTCTTCGGGGGGAGGTGTTACGTACGCCTAATCTATGAAGATCGCTGCATCGACGCTGACCCAGTTTACCCAAATCAACATTGCAACTGCACTATGGACCGCGAGGAGCAGCATCAGCAAAATGCGCCTCTCATGACGACAGCGGCGACGTTTCAGTAATTTTACTAATTATTTTATATTCATATTTGTTTCACACTTCGAGACGGTATCACTAGCTTACCTAATTTTACTTTTATTGTAATTTCTTTCTTTTAAATTAAATTTAATTAAATAAAGTTTGCTTTTTCTTGGAACCTCCGGTTGCAGCTAACGAAATTGAGGTATAAATGATGCACAATATTTAAAACTTAAGTGTAGCCTCAATTTATAAATAATAATTTGAAGGACACTGTTAAATATACTTTATTTCTGTTTTATTACTAATTTATATTTTAACAGTTAACCAAGTGAATTGTAAAATTTACTAATAATACAGAAACAAAGTTTGTGCACATTAGTTTTATATAAACTAAATTGTGACTATCTTTTTTGATCTCCTAGATCTTCAATACTGTCTTCATCGATCTGAAAAATAGAAAGTTTTATTTTAATAAATGAAAATATTAAGTTTTGTTTTTTTTCAATAATTTGTATGCTGCAAAACTTATATTACTACTACAAGTACTACATAAAAATATTAGGTAACATAATAATATACTTACTTCAGGCCATTTTTCAGGTATAATATCAAATAGATCATCTTTCACATCTCCCTGAATAACAATCTCATCATCACCAGTGACTGACGATCCACATGCAAATTTTGTGCCAAAAAACTTAGCAGCCACTTTTAAATCAATGTCTGAAAAAAAGAACAATAAAATTAGTAAGTTTAGTAATGGCAGTAGAATAACAATTATTTTTATTATCATAAATAATATGTATAAAAGTTATTAGATTTACATACCAAAGGTACTCAATCCAGAGACAACAGTGACAGATTTTTTCTTGCCGCGGGGAGCCCGTGAGACCTGCACTAATTTGGGAACATCTTCTTTTTTCTTTGATTTCAACATGCCTTTTCCACCTCTCTTTTGGCGTTTTTTTTCCTCTTCGCCGCCGGCATTTTCTTCTTCATCTATAATCATTAAGAAACGTATTAATAGCAGTAATAGTTTTGAAGGATTCTTTTCATTATAACCTAAAACATCGGATACGTGAATACATTTATGAACATGGAAATTTATGTACGCATACCTATTTTCACCTTCTCAAATTCTGTCGGAAGATGTTTTTCAAGCCACTGTTTGCATTTATCATACTCAGGATAATATTCACAATATTCAATCGGCATAGAACAATTGCCACAATACTGCACTCTTACAGGATATGTTACTCCTTCCCGTGGGCCCATTGATAGATCTCTATCAGCCATTGTTAATAGTATTAATTTTAATAATTTGCACTAAAATACATTGGTGATTGAGAAAATTTTTAGAAAAACTGGAGAAGAAAAATGTATTTTCACTCCTCTTCTGCTGAAATATTCTGAATGACGTAAATGACGTTTTAAAATGTCATGAAAGTCACCGTGCGTTTCGTTTCACGCGTTGGTTTCATACCTCCATGTTTCACGCTAAGGAACTTAGAGCAAAGATAAATAAGTTAGCGTCAACCTTAATTATAATATTTTCAGCACTGCTGGCTGGCAAGCATGCTATATAACCGAGTAATAATTATGGAGAAGGCTTTATATAAATCCCCCTCTTCATACTTTTTGACCATAAACGTATAGATGCTTTCTTTTCACATCCCAGATTTTCTAATAGATTTATTTCGTTAAAACATAATATTAGGCTGAGTTAAAACATAAGGCTGAGCCCCGATTACGGTAACTTTTAACGTTCCAATCCAGCCGCGTTTCTGATTCTGCAATACGATTGGTCAAAACAGCTGACGGACGTACGCTGTTGCCTGTTGAACGACCAATCGTATCGCAGAATCGAGAAGCGTGTCTGGATTGGAAACGTTAAAAGTTACCGTAATCGGGGCTCTGAGTTGCACATTGACGTTGATCGTACAATTAAGCCGTATAACAATATCAAGCACAATGGAATTTATTGAAATATGCCATAAGACTTCTCCACTGGTAGTAAAATCGAAGACTGCAGATAGCTAGATTTTATTAAACCTACCAAATTAATATTATTTCTACCATGATATAATGGCAACACCGTTTTCTACTCCGCAAAATCAACACAAAATAAAATCACTTTTCCACATTTTGCATTCGTTGTGTGTTGTGTTGATGATGATACATCTGTAACAATGATTATTTAGCTAGTGATTCGAGTGAAACTTTATTATAAATGGAGACTAGGAAGTGATTAGGAGCTTACTGTGATCAGAATGTAGCACTTAGTCAAGTTCCCAATCCATAATATTCAGATAAAATATTGATCTTTTGTTGAACTTGGACTGTAAATAAATATAAACTGTGAAAATGTCCGTGGTTAAGGGAAAACTGGTGAAAATGGAAGTTATTCAAGTGGGTGAATATGAATTCACCAAACAAGATATTATTGGACATGGGGCGTTTGCCATGGTGTACAAAGGAAGGAAGAGAAAGGTACGTAGCAAGATCGTCACTTTTCATTGTTCTTGCACTTCTCGCTCTACCTGTGTTTTCCGTAACATTACAACAGTCAATGATCAATGTATGCAGCTAAAAATGTTATTGTTTTGACTTCCTCGCCCCGCATTATTGATCTTGTTTCTGGCGATGTGGGTGGTAGTAATGATGATGCGTCGCTAATTATTAGGTGCATTTGTCAAAATTGGTGAATTGCGTGTGTTTATTTATTGAACTTGTAATGATACTGTAGAAATATCTAACCTACACTAATAAAACATTAGCCATTTTATTTAACAACATCAGCTGATATTACACTTTGTTTATAAATAGAAATACAAATGGTGTATACTGCCAAGATTTTATTTGAAGATTCTTTGCTTTGTATTTACTAAAACTCAATATCATTAGAAATATTATGGTTTCTAATTTAAAAGATAAGTTAGTAAAATCTATAATATTTACACTGCTAAAACTGCTATTGAATATTTATTTGATTATTTATGTTCTTAACCATTTTCCCAAACTATTAAAATGTACATTACTATCTACACAGGTAAGAAACATTTAATAATAATGGAATTCTACGCCTTAAACAAATGTATATTTTGTGACTTATAAACTATGCCTATACAGAAATTCTAGGCAAATAAAAAAAAACCACTGGTTACCTAGCTCCGGTACTAACACAATGGACAGAATAAAATGCTATTCAATATTTTGTGATAAAACTGGTAAATGCTTTATTACAAAACATTGATTGGGTAAAAATATTAGTTTAAAAAAATGACACATGGTTTCCAAAGTAGTATTTCCAGTAACATTTTTATATTATATCTAATACCTATATTTTATAATTCTTTGTTAATTTATCTTCTAGCCCATGCAACATGAAAGTTAGTCAGTGTATACATATATAGGAAACTTGTACATTCAAACAGCTGCTCCATGCCATTCCAGTTTTGCAGCTGGTTTTAACTAGGCCACATGTCTATAATTAATGCTTACATTTTATTGCACCTTGTATGTTGTTAAGAAACTAGAAAAATATGCTATAATAAAATTTATCAACATTTGTTATTTTAATATGAATTTATTCTTTAGTTTAGATACATTTTTTGCATGGCATTTATCTTGGTAATTTTAAATAAAATAATAAAAAATAAATAAACATTATTATTTGAATATTATTGTTTTGATAATTAGCAATACCAGTAACCATAATATAGGAAAGTCATTTATGTTGTTTCATTACACAGTTTAAACACATTACACAAATCACCATCCATTTTGTTATTTAATTAGATGTTATAAGTACTCAATAGATAGGTATGTACCTACTATACCATTTAAATCAATGTTCATAAATTCCTTGGTACCAGACCTATGATGAGAGAAAGGAAAAACAAAGTGGTGGTGGCTTTACATACCAGTCACACCACTTGCTTTCTTTAGTTTGGATTAATAACACCAGGTAGAGCCAATAACATATTTAGGCTCTTCTTTTTGAGCCTCTATGCTATAGCTGGAGTGAGTCTTTTTATTTATGGACACAAAACATTGTTCTTGCTTTACAAGCCTACATAATTACTTTTCTATTCAACTTCTTTTCTGAGGCCCTATTCTGAAAATAATATGGAATGTTGGATATCAGTCTTTCTCTCTGTGTGATGCAACACAAAGACAACTGAATATAGAAACAAAATTGTAGCATACAGAATAGCCTCACTGATCACGACGAGTAATAACCTCATAAGAGGATACTTTTTTCTCTGGTAAACAAATTGACCGCAGGTAACCTTTCGTACAGTACCACGACAGTACCAACAAGCTACTCTTTTAAAAGCTATTTTTTGTCATGGTGACACACAACCAACAAGACTGATATGTAATTTAATCTATTCTTCTCCATGTCTGTAGTTCAATAAAAAACATTTTCTACATACTCATGTTAGCTAGAGCTACTTATTATTAGATACCTACTTAATACAACTGTTTGGTCCCTGAAAATGTACCTACTTATGTCCCTTTAGACGTCATAGACACTCCTGTCGGTTGGGTATGGTCAGTGGTCGTCTTACTTCGGTAGATGGGTCGGGTTTCGCGCTTTGTTCGGAAGTCCCCAGGAGTGGGACAAAGAGTTTTTGAACAATAGGACACGCACCGCGAGCCCCAAGGGCACTACGCTAGACACGTGCGGTGCGCACGCGAATAGGCAACAAAAATGCAGTGCCGACTTGCGCCGGAGCAGAACGATTCAGCTCGTACGTCACTTCTTGAGAATAGGCACTTATTAAACTTAGATCCTTTGAGTTATCTTTTTATTAATATTCTTCTAATAAAATGTACTCTCCACAAAGTAAATAGAAACAAAAGATGTATGCTGGTGGTTAGTCACGAATGTCACGCACGATAGACCAATCTACGGAACAGGGAATTCAATCGATTCATAATGTCCTTGAGAAATGCGTGTAATAGCAACACTACCTATGCAGTCTTAATTAATATAGACTAAGCAAAATAATGTTCCCAGTAAGTAGGACCTAATTGGTAGCTAAACTTTTAGTTCTTACCTTGGGATATAGCCTTTAACCTATATCTTAGATACTCTTACAACATGGCACTGTTTATGAATAAACTTTAGGTACTTACATAAAATGATTCAGATCAGTAGAATAGGTAATCGTAGAAGACACAGTATCCAACTAAAAATAAAATTAATTAGGTACTAGAATAATCGTTTTTTAAATCAATTTCTCATTAAAAACATTTTATCAACCAAAATAGGAACTTGCCTATCCACTTAAATCTAAAACGCTATCTTAGAAAAACAATATGACGTAGGTGAGTAGGTACCTACCAGGCTGTACCTACCCAAATATCGCTGGAAGAAAAATACCTACTACATTCAGCAGAGGATACCCAGGCACGAAACTGTTGGTTGATATCTACATTGCCTAATGACTTCTAATTCAGAATTGCATTTGGTAAAGTAGGTATATTTATATGCAATGCAATAATTAGATTGTCCAAACATTTGATTATCCCTGTACGAATGAACTTTGTATAGAAGTAGGTCAAACTGTTACCGACACGGAGGAATGCATGCCGAAGCTAATGTTAGCCCGGCGCGAAGGTGCCTCCTTTCCTCGGTTACTAAATACGAAGGCAGTTCAGAATATTGAAATTCATAAAATATGATTATGAAGCATTGCCAAAAGTATTACGCTCCCTTGAAGATTGAAATGTACAGGAAAAACTATTTAAAATGGATAATAAGACATGGTAGTTCTTATCAGTCGGTCGAAGTCAGGAAGATGTAAGCTATATAGACCTTGGATGGCGTGCATGTGAATACTCTACCCGCCCACCTGCAACGGCCTTATGCAACGCTCGCTGCACTTACGTTATCATTTTACAAAGGCGACTAGTAATTATAAATAATGTCTGAGTAGATACCTACTTACTGTTGTGCAAGCGTCGTCGTGTCTCAATCTCAGCTGCGACTATAGGTCACAGAATTTATACGATTGGCAGGCAATATAGTTGGATTATTACCGTACCCCATCGATACATTTTATGTCTAAGTATTTTTTATTATATTCCCTTCAATCTTTTATTACTATAGAGATGAGTTTCTTACTTAAAATGCACTTACGCGGACAATCAAATTGCTCAATTCAGATCAATTATGACGTCACGGTAATATTGGGATCAGTATTGTTGAAGTAGGCATACGATGTAACCCTGTATAAGGTCACCTAAACAAATTAACTGACGTATAGGACACAACCTGGTGGTAGACTTTTATGGTGGCTAACACTGGCTACTATGTATGATGATAACGCTCATGCAATGCACTATGCGTTCCTATAAGTTATTTAATTAGTAACAACATTTATAGGTCTTGTTGTAGCAACATCTTGTGGTAATAAATATGCACTGATATAATTAGCCTGTGTATTTTCTCCCACGACGCAAACAGTAACTGTGTGAACTAATGTTTACGTTGTAACCATTATTTTGTTTCGTCTCATTAAATCTTAAACTTTTATTGCGTGCCTGATTAAATACCTAATTACAAAATATATGCTAATGATAATGTAATTTATGTTCACAGAATCCGTCGCAATCAGTGGCTGTGAAGGTGGTTACTAAGAAAGGCATCCAAAAAGCCTCAGAAATTCTCGTTAAGGAGATCAAAATTCTACGAGAATTGACAGCGCTCCACCACACGAACCTCGTGGCTATGCACGACTGTATGGACAGCCCGGCTTATGTCTACGTCGTCATGGAGGTGAGTCATTTATATTTGCCAGCAACCGCAATTCTTGACAGTGTTGTTCACATAAACTGTCTCCCAATAACGAAACCACTGACGGAAAACAATCCACGAAGTAGGTAGCTGATAATTAATCAGCAATTTTTAATGCATTTTACCATTCCGCGACTCCGCGTTATTCATCACCATGAAATAGATAAGGATCATCATAATAGAAAGGGGAACGTGCATGTTAGATTGATTGATTTGTGTTTAAAACTGAACTACTGCGGGCACGCACCAGCACACACATAGCGTGTTAGTGACGTGTTTGCCAAACATTGCCGAAACAGAAATAACTCCCCTAAAGGAACACCACTGCTCGCTCACTAATCCAATTTATTTTCGGAAACCAGACCGCATTAATTTTTGGTTATTCTGTTGAAAAGGGTGATGTCATGTTACTGTACGATAAACTTAGTATAGTCTGACAAAATGGTTATCGTGTCACCCACACACGTGCTCGTGGGACAGACAGTATCAAAAAAACATTCTTCATCCTTAGATAAATCCCTTCTTATCTTTATACGGCTTATAAAAACAACATGAACCATGGAATTATATTGTTTTCTTACCTAGCAGCAACATTACTAATAATCGGGTATGTTTCTTCATTAATAACTATGCGTGGTATGTAAATAATTAATTCTTACATAGGTACCCAGTATCAATGAGTTGCTTCATCACGGACGTTAACATGCGAATGCATGAAATGTATTCGTTTAGAAATGGCCAAACAGTTACAGTTAGTTGACCGGCCTTTTCGTTTCTTTGTCTGCCTATTTTCATTAAACTTTTCTATGATAATTCAATATTTCCTGAATAGGTATAGATTCCACTTATGAATAATTTACTAGCTCTATTAGCCAGTTTGGTCCGCCAGTTAAATCGGTATTATGGTTAAAGGTAAATTCACATTTAAATGCTTTTTGGCCAATTTTTATGACCTATAAAATGTGGCATACTTATAGATATTTAAATGAATGATTAGCACCCTTATTAAGTATGTTTAAATTGACTCATTCGATTACAATTAATTTATTTATTATCAACAAGCCGACCATAAAACACGAATGACCCGGAATCATAATTAACATACAATGTGAATCTGCGTTTCAGCTTTACATTCGGCATAATTACCAGGAACTTCAAAGTCAAACTACTAATCGTTAGCATTAGGTGCTGCTGCCTGTTAACCCAATGGCCTTGCCCTTAATCCATTCTCGATAACGCGACATCGCAATAAGTAACATTATGTATTTGTAGAGCACTTTGGCGTGATGCTCTACAAATTCACAGTGCTTTTCAGTTACGTCCTGACTCCTGTCCTACTCAAGAAGCTTTATCAAACAATAGGCGTAACCATAATAAACTGAATTTATAATGAATGAATAGTGGACTGGTCTCATCAGCGCTATGGACGCCTTCCGCGTTTTGATCGGGCACGCGAATTTGTGGCAAGGTCACGTGGCTATAGATAAACTTGCCCACGAACCTTCAAGCACGCTGCTGCTGCGTGAACGCCGGCCAGCCGCCCGCGACGGTCGTTGTCACCGCCAGCGTACCACTAACGATCCAAATAAAATTCGCGGCAACAGCTAGACAGCTACGATGCTTATTGCGCAGCTAAATGCCGTAATAGGTCAAGGGGACCTCAATAAAAAGATTAGTCTGATAAAGAACAGACAATGTACGAATGTAAGGACTCTTATCTCGCGCTGAGCTTCTCTGGTCATCGTAACGTTGACTTCTGTTCTGGGGTCGGTCCAACTCACGGCTAGGCTGGCCTACTAACCTCTATATTATCAGATATTTTATTGCTATAATTATTATCCTCAACAGTATATCAAACATTTGATTATGAATGCACCTACTTAATAATTATATCAATGAACTGACTGAATTAATACCTATGTCATTTTTATTTTTAAAATCTATTTTGATTGTTGCATTCTGTTCAGAACATGTGTACTTATGTACTTATCTAACCCATATGTAATTGTTCTATTCGAAGCTTTGGTCGCGCGCCTCTATGTCTGTATGTATTCTCACACGTGTTGCGTGCGCGACCGCCGACATGACGCAGTCGTAGCCCACGACGTATATCTGCCTCGTGTCAACCTAACAGCTTCTATAGTCACCTCTTCTGTTATGAAAAGTCTAGAACCTAGATAACATAAATGCGCAATAATTATAATGTTCATGAACTACGTAAAAGAAAGTGGAATGAACAAACAAAACATGTTTTTATCAATCGGGTATTTATTTGAGCTGTCGAAGGCATGAACCTGTAAACAAAAACAGATTTTGTTAAGTTAAAAAATAGATAAATATTACATTCCTCGAACCGATAAGACTGCATAGTTTATTTTTGGTCTTTGTTGTTTTGTCTCTAATACACAAGCACCTACTTACACTCAAATAAAAACATAGAATGCTGCTGTATTTGCTACTACATACAAGGACCGCAACGTTTGAAAATAGACCTACCGGCAATCAAATTTTCTATGAGCAGCAAGGATATACCTATTTAATTGCACAAAATAATTACATGCCTGCCTACAGTGAATCAGAGTTAAGTGCTCTACTTAAATAAAACCTACATGTAGAGATTTAGTTGATGGAATTATGTGTATGTATGTACATATTTACTTTTATTTTTATTTCTAACAATTAAAATAAATTTTCACGGAGACGTCACTGTCTTTCTGATAATTCAAGAATGAGAGAGAAACGTAGTATACCTTTTGTTATTTATAGTTTTTTATTAAAGAATTCTTTCTTTTACTGCTGAGATAGTTCAGAATTATTAATTAATTATTTTCTACTTATCATTAGGGTCGCCTAATAGGTTTCATGCTTTGATTGCGCTGACCCTGAACACCAGACGTTAATTAGAATTCGAAGTGAAGCAGACGCGGATCCGCCTTAGCCTATATTAGATCATCTTTGTTATTATTCAGTCTATCTGACATGAATCCCAACGAGATAAGTGGAAGATGTACAGTATCTAGAAAGTAGTAGTAAACGACTTCAAAACACTATTTTATCAGGCATCGTCATGATAAATAAAAAAAGATTGATATTAACATCTCATATTCCCTCTGTTTGCTGAAGTGTGTGTCTGTTGTTAACTTTTTATTATTATTATTTTTGTTTTAACTATGTAACTTTACAGCAAACTCCTGATATTCTTTTGTCTTCTTCTTTATTATTCCAAGGTAATAAGTATTTAAATTGTTTGAATTTCAAATTATTTCATTACCATACACAATATTTTCATTATTTTGTGATTTTGAGAAAAGTCTTTTATTTACATGCAAAAACCTTAGGATGATAGAGCATATTATTATCTGGTTTGGAACAAGACCAGTAGAGTGCCTCGCTCTGTGTACAAAGCCAAGGCGAGTTCATTGGCACGTTTTTCTTTCGGCCGAGTCAGTCAGTACCTACCTACCTACTTAATTAAGCGTGGCTAGTCGCCATGACTGCTGTCGACTCGACCATGACTTCACCAATTATGCGAGTTATTAATATAAAGTTGTATTTAAAACATGTCTTTTTCACGTCAGCTCTCTTTGAAATTTATTTTGCTATTTACATACTAAGACGTAATAATGAATGTACTGACTATTTAAAAAACATAATATAAGCATAAGGTAGAATGACTGAACAACGTCGTGTTTCATTTCCATGATGCGAATGAAATCATAAATTATCTCACAGCGGTAAAAAATCAAACACGGAAGAGTTCGCAATTGCGTCGCTAATACGGCTATAGCAGCTGCTTTAGCTACGAGTACATAGACAGCATACCATTTAATGTTCGCTACTAAAAACTCTTTGGGCGACGGTTGTTACGGAGTTAAACATTAGAATTTATTCAAATTATCATACGAATTTTTACTGTTTACCTTATAAAAGCAGCGGAATTATGTATTTTAAACATGACCCCAATATCAGTGTAGAGACATGTCTACCTTTTAAACCACCCGGAACAGTAAAATAGGAAGTAAATAAACACAATGTAGAGAAACATGCAAACTCCAAAAAGGCTTAAACAAATATTTTTTGTTATGAAAACTATATTATGATGACGCATATTACGTATCATTCGACGTCACTTATTTCGAGACCAAACAAACAATATTTATCAATAAGACAAACAACAAAATTATAATTTAAAGCTACCTTTTAGTATCACAATAACATGCTTATGCCAACAAGCCTAGTTTAATGTATGAACTTGAAGCTTCAGACAGAGCTTCTCATTGCAATTACTATATTGCATTTGCATTGACTCTATCGGACATCAATCCGATATTTAGGCTTACAGTGTTCTTCTATTGATCTTATCTATTGATTAATTTTAGTCTACAATGTCCTAACGAAACTTGAACCTATCGTAATAGTTAATACATTTTTTTTCATCTTCGTATAAGACCTCTTTATCGCAAAGTTTTTATTTATTATCTATGACCACGGAGGCGGAAAGTGTTTTGAGTTATCTTATGTGTGACTATTTATATTATTATATGGATGGATGTAGACAGTGTAAACTATCACTATCAAAGTGTACGATTATGCAAGATAAGAGCACGCGCGTGTGTGTATGTTTTGGCTCACGCTCAACGCGAGGCGCGCGGCGTGTTGTGAATGCGCACTGTGCCTGCGCAAGTGCACACTGCACAGCATTGGGTAAAACAATTGAGAAATTCTGATATTTTGTCGTAGTAATTTGTTCAAAAGCCAACTCCTAAATCTATTGTACACTCAGCGGCACGGAATTTGGCCCAAGCCTAAACAACCAGATATGAGGCCAAATAGGTGTTGTATACCTATGTTTCGTGTGACATGTTAACAGAACATTTGTTTTTGTTAATTTAAGAGCCTAGATTCTTAAAAAATGCGTCTGTTTAACTTTTTTGACTCTAGAAACGCATTTCGTTGTCGGAGCGCAAAGAGTACGGGTAAGT